CAAAGTTTCAATCCATTTGGATAAACCCTCGAAGAAAAAAGTGACAAAATGATTTTGACTAGGGTCGCCCCTAGTCCAAAATTGAAAATGTATTTCCAACTTGGTTCTTTGCTCAAAAAAATTTTAAGATGTTTTATTTGTATTTTTTTTAGCACTAGAATATTTATGCAAAGTTTCAATCCATTTGTATAAGCCCTCGAATAAAAAAGTGACAAAATGATTTTGACTAGGGTCGCCCCTAGTCCAAAATTGAAAATGTATTTCCAACTTGGTTCTTTGCTCAAAAAAATTTTAAGATGTTTTATTTGTATTTGTTTTGAGCACTAGAATATTTATGCAAAGTTTCAATCCATTTGTATAAACCCTCGAAGAAAAAAGTGACAAAATGATTTTGACTAGGGTCGCCCCTAGTCCAAAATTGAAAATGTATTTCCAACTTGGTTCTTTGCTCAAAAACATTTCAAGATGTTTTATTTGTATTTGTTTTAAGCACTAGAATATTTATGCAAAGTTTCAATCCATTTGGATAAACCATCAAAGAAAAAAGTGAGAAAATTGATTTTGACTAGGGTCGCCCCTAGTCCAAAATTGAAAATGTATTTCCTACTTGGTTCTTTGCTCAAAAAAATTTTGGAATGTTTTATTTGTATTTGTTTTAAGCACTAGAATATTTATGCAAAGTTTCAATCCATTTGTATAAGCCCTCGAAGAAAAAAGTGACAAAATGATTTTGACTAGGGTCGCCCCTAGTCCAAAATTGAAATTGTATTTCCTTCTTGGTTCTTTGCCAAAAAAAATTTTTTTCATCCAAAGTTTAATTTAAAAATAAAATCACAGTGAACTTTTAATTTGAAAAATTCGTAAGAAATGAAAGTTTTTTGCTTTTTTTGAAGCAACGGCTGTTCCTACCTTGCCTAAAAACACTACAGCTCTTCTATAGAGCAGCACGGATCAAATGTAAAAAACTAGAAGTCTCTTCAATGCAGAGTTGATATCTTGCCTTTGACTTTGAAAAAGGCAAATCTTTCAAAGGCAATGCAAAGGCAAGGTTTCAAAAAAAATCTTTTGTCAAAGGCACTTGAAAGGCAAAGTTTACTGGTTTTTACCTTTGCAAAGGCAAGTTTTAAGGCAAAGGCAATTTTTTTTGCCTTTTCAAAGATTTGCCTTTGCCTTTAACCTTGCCTTTGCAAAGGCAGAAAAAATTGCCTTTGCCTTAAAACTTGCCTTTGCAAAAGGCAAAATCTTCCAAGGTCAAAGGCAATTTGCTGGGTGAGAGCTCGATTCAGAAGAAAGAAAATTGTTTGAAAACTTTTGGTCAGGGAATTGGATCAATACGATTTTTGATGGACGTTATTTATGATCAACTCCTGATATAATCCTTGTAAAAATTACACAACTGCCAAATTCAATTTTTTTAAATTTAAAACATAAAAATATGAATATCATGTGGTTCTACAAATTTCAAATCACATTTTGTATGTCTTATGTTTTTAGTCAAGTCATTTTTAGTGCACCATATACACAAGTTAAAATTGAACGCACCTTCTCAATTTTTGCTCTTGTGTTGTCGCACATTAGAACGAATCTATCTAAAGATTCATTAGATTCTATAATCGTCGTCAGAGACAATTTAGATCTTATTGATCGTATTAATTTAGTTTAATATGTAAAATATAATTCTAAATGAATCGTTTTCCATTTGCTCATTAATTTTTTAAATATAAAATATATCCTGCTTCAAAACTAAAATCAGTGGTTTTATCTATCATGAAAATTTAAAATTAATAAGTATGAAAAATTTTTACAATTTAAATTGAAGTGGAAAGTCAAAGCTAATTCAAAGATAAAGGCATTTGTCTTTAAAATGCATTTTTAGGCAAAGGCAAGAAAACATTGCCTTTTGAAAAGGCACAAAAAAGGCAAAGGCAATTTTTTCTGCCTTTGCAAAGGTAAAGTCAAAGGCAAAGGCAGTGTCTTGCAAAGGCAACTAAAACGGCTTGTGCCTTTTTTGTGCCTTTGCAAAAGGCAAAATCTTGCAAAGTCAAAGGCAATGCCTTTGTCAAAGGCAAATCCGTATCAACTCTGCTTCAATGTCTCGTTATTGAGATTTCTTGCTGATTAACTTGCTTGTTTGCTTGCTTACAGAAAGCATATTTTGCGATTTTCTCAGCAATGCCGCAACCAATTTGAAATCTGTTTTTGCAAAAGATGTAAAATTTAAGGCACAAACTTTTCATTTCTGAACATTTTAAGCTTTCTTGCTCCATATCCTCACAAAATTCAAAAAACTGATTTTTCAATCTGAACAAAACCAATAGATTCACACATGAAAACGGTGTGAATATAATAATTTTACATAAACTAAGTTCTTAGCAACTTTTTATTGAAACAATTGTCTTTAATAAAAGTTTACCGTTACTATGGAACGGCACTCATAAAACTGTCATGAACTTATCATTAAATGTAGACATTAACAGCATAACTTTTCACTGCAATTAAAATAATTTTATCTTAATGTAATAAAAAAAAAAAGTTGAAAAGTTTGTGCTTAACAAAAAGTGAAAGAAGTTCCTTAAAACGGTTAATCTGCCTCTGCAGTTATTAAAATCCGTAAAATGTTCTTCATGAAAAAATTAATTGCAGTTCACAAATGTCAAATGCATGCTCAAGTTTCCGATCATTAAATAATTCTCAGAATGTTTCTACCACACAATGACATCACGTGAATTGAAAAAAAGAATGTTTCTCGAAGGTAATATTGATGCCTTCAATAGCATGTGTGTGATTAATAAGTAAAAAATTAGATCCGCAATGCTTTAATGATTGACATAAAATCGGTGTGAAGTAAAAGAGACAATGTGAGTGTTAAAACGAAGGGCACATTAGACATTAATATAGTCATAAACTCATCATGGAAATGTTAACTTACTCAAATGACTAAATTACGATTAATTGAGTGAATAAGGTTTGAAACTTAAGATAATTTGATAGGAAATTTATGATCGTTAAATTTACTAATTGAAGCAAATAATACAACAACAACAATGAATGTAATCAGATCAAACAAAAAAATATCAAATTCACAAGTTAGCTGTTAATGATGGGATACATGAGAGTCGTAAAACGGTTTTATTCGAGAATAATTATTGCAGATTTTACATCTCAAAAAAGAACCAAGATCAACAGAATGTTCTTACTGAATTTGACATCATCTTATTAAATAATGAGTGTTCCTGCATTTCTAAGCATGAGTGAGATTTCAACATCAATTCAGACAAGGAAAAAATTCATGACTCACTTATGACATAACAAAGATAGATGGGGAAGTTGCATTCCATTCAAAGTATCCAGAGGAGCAAAAAATAATTGCTAATCACGATCTGCTCAGTCAAATCAAGCTATATGTAATATTTTGCATTTTAGCAAGCTGAAGTGAGGAGACTCAGTGTGAATTTGCATGAAGGAGCTTCCGTGATAGCTTTTTGTATCTAAAGCTAGTTATTTTACTCGAATGTAGCCCAAGGGTCGGTTTTTCTATCATTTGGGATTTAGCCAATGGATAGGAATGGGAAAAAGGTAAAGCATAGATGATTACAATAATGACTCGTTAGAAATTTGAATTTAATTAAGTTATGGTTGCTAATTCTTTGAATTAAATGATATTTTAAGACCAAAGGTGGGCTTCAGAAAAAATACAAAATCCTCTTAAAAAGTATCAAAATAGAACTACTTGAATTACTCAAGTCATTACTACTTGATTTCTTCCTGTTTTTATTCAAAAACAAAAGTCACTTGAAAGTCATTTAAGCTTATTTTTTTTAAAATCTTGCCACTTATTTCTTGCCACATTTCATTCCACCCACGATCTTCAAAAGCAATTAATTTCCATTCGAATGACATAATCTTCAATCTTAAAGTTTATTGACCGACCGATTTAAGCTCACCGCGTTAAATAAATTCCTCTATTTCATCCAGTCAACAGCGAGACATTGAGACACGTCAATGGTACACGACACATACATGCCGGCATGTAGAGTTTGTTTGGCTTCTTTTATTAAAGCACCTATCGGAAATATCTCAATGCAAAAAGAAGAAGAAACAAAAGAGAAGCAATGCGAGGTGCTGAAAAAATGAACTTTCACCTTCTCCGTACTTAAAAGTCGCTTGCTATAGTCAAGATTACTGATTATTTCTTATTTAACTCTTTTCAATGGTTTCATGATTGATGGATTGATTTTACGCATTCATGAGGAATAACTTGGTGGTTATTTTTTGCATGCCGTGATAAATTTAATGAGCTTGTTATTGAAATCGTCAGCAGACTTTTTGCTGACAGCTTCAATTTTTTTTTGTTTCATTCCTCGTCACATTGAGTCACTTTTTGTCGAGCCTGTGGATGAGTTTTTTGGAGTTTCATCAATGAAAAGAGTATTTCAGGTGAAAAATTGGTCAATAAATTTTAAATTTTAGTGTCACTTGCACTTAATGTCAGGCATAAATTAAAGAAGTAACTAAAATAATTTAGATCGAAGGCTATTGATGTGACTTTATTGGTGAATTATTGAAGGTTAAATTGTTTTAGTGATTTAAGTCAATTGTGAGTAGCAAAGGTTTTGAAAGGATAACCATCTTTATTCTTTTTGGTAGATCTGTCCAAAATTATAAATATTAAATTTCCGTTCATCACAGGATAAAGCCAAAACATGGCCAGCAAGCATTTTAAAATATCAACATCGATAAGATATCAAAAAGCATTCAAATTTCTTGCAAAATCTGTATAAAGTAACAGGGTATCATCATTTTACGACCTTCCTTTATTTTGCCATAGCTTTCTTGATAACAAAAACAATGCAATTTATCAATAGTCAACGTCATATGAAAATATTTTCTTTATCATATCACGCCTCATATTGATAAGTTCACGTATTAATTTAATCTTGCTTAAAAATAGTATCACTTAATTTCTTTTCAGGTATCATTTGATAAGAAGTTTGTTTATCATTTTACTATAAAAATTCAACAAAAAGTATGTTGCGTTTAATTCTTGAAGTTTATTTTGAAGTGATTGGAACAAAATAAGGAACAAAAATAATGAAATCTTTAATAATTTTTGCAGTGTTTGTGGCATCGATTTTATCGAACCGTAAGTTTATTTAAGGGGCCATTCACTTATTACGTAACGCTTTTAGGGGGAGGGGGGTCTAAGATTTTGTTACGGTTCAAACAAGGAAATTTTTTTTTCATACAAATTTTGTTACGAGGTGGGGGGGGGGTCTAAGAAGTCATTTTTTCGCGTTACGTAATAAGTGAACAGCCCCTAAGAAAGAAGCTAAATCCTTGAGACTAGAGGTAATCTAATAATTCTCAACCTTTATTTACGTTATTTGCAGCAATCGCAGTAAATGACAGAAATCATGAAGCCAATTTGAGAAGAATTTTAGAAAACCAAAGATACAACTTCCCATGTGGATGGCCAAATGCTGGTCAAAACGGAGGTAAGACAACGATTTTCTTTTGTAACGTTAAAAATACTAAGTTCCTTTTATGATTTTAATTTAAAGTTCCACCAATCGATCCTTTGTTTATTGAACAAGTTGTTATTGTTCAAGACTCAATTGCTTCATCGTAAGTATTTTTCTCTACTTTGATGCCTATTTGAAATTGATAACTTTTTCTCATCATTAGCCTTACTTCAACTATTTCAAATATTTTCGTCCGAAACCTCCGTACTTTTGTGATTGAGGCATTAGAAATAAATTCAGCTGCTAGAACTCTTCGCTACAGAATTAACATTCCTCTTTTGACTCTTGATGCAAGACATGAAACTCGTGGAAGAATGATTGGAATTCCAGTTGTCAGTGGAAGTGGACCAATGACGTCACGAGCAACAAATGCTTTCATTGAGGGTGTCATATCCTGGATTGAACAGCCAGATTCTGGCTTCATTCATTTTGATGACCAAATTGCAAACTTTAATTCACAAAATGTTGTTGTACAAATGGATGGATTCGGACTCTTAACAGGAACCATTAATCGACAAATCAATGACATGATCCCAGAAGTCATCAACGATCCTGCAATGCAAGCACAATTCAATCAAATTCTCAATGACATCATGTTGCCAATGTTAAATGAATTTACATATCAAATGACACCTGCACAAGCTGGCGAGTTTCTTGCACATTATGCTGAGAATTTGCCACCAGCAAATTGCTAAACATCATCAGTATGAAAACTTAAAATTGGCAAAAATGTACAAATATTTTTTAAGGCAAATAAAATCTTTTGTTATTTAAAGCAATTTTATCCGTTTCATTTTTTGCGTGGTACTTGATTTTAGATAAGAGAAGCTACATACGTTAAATTCATTCAGGTGGAGTCATGATAAGATTGCAAAAAAAAATCAATTCAACAATTTTATCACTTAATTCAATTAAAGCCATTAAGTTGATTGATTTTCCAAGGTATGTGAATTTTCTATTATTCTCATGAAGACTTATTTCTCAAAAAGGAATTTTCCTACGCTCTTGCTCGACAATCTCTTCCCTGTTTTTCCTGAAATGTTTCTCAAATTTATCAAACAAGTTTTTAAGACTTCTAAATTCAGCATTTATTCAAACTGTTAAGTGTGTTAAATCCACAATATTCAGGATTGCCTACTGATAAGAAAGCTCAACTACATCACACCTGTTGCAACTTTTTAAAAGCTTTCAGTTTTTTTTTATTTTGACATAAAAATGAATCCTCCAAAAATTCAGCTTTTTCATTTAATATTTTACTCACAGTTAATTTTAAGAAGCTTTTGGCACATTTACGCTGCATGATTTATAGAATGACTTTTATATAACAAAAATATTGTGATAGGTCGCCGGTCCAGAAATCAATCATTTTTGTTATCTAATCAACGTTTTTGGAAGTCGATAAAAGTTTTTACATCTGTTCTGTATAAAAACCAGTTAATATTGCTGGCAAATTTCATAGTCTACTCAAGAGTTTTGAAGTGAAAGCAGTTAAGGATGAAGTATTTATTGTTGATTGCCGGAATTTGTGGATTAATTTTTGCAGAACGTAAGTGATAATTTTTGGAGTAGAAAACTGTGACAAATTTATGATAAATTGTGAGATTATTTGATAAACAAAAAAATGAAGTAATTTTTGGAATTCCCAAAAATCAAACCTTAAAAGTCACTTAAGCTACGTCTGATCTTTTTCAGCTCTATCCAGAAATCCCGTAAATAACGAAAGATATGCAAGGCAAATTTTAGAAAATTCGAGAAGAAACTTTCCATGTGGATGGCCTGAATATGGAATCGGACCAATTGATCCATTATTTTTGCCTTATTTCCAGATCACTCAAAGAACAAATGGTGTTAAGTAAGTAATCTAAACAATATTTAAAGGTTATTTATAATGCAACTCTTATCTGAAAGGTGTAAAATTAAATCAGTTGATATGACATATTTTAGAACTTCAATTAAAGCTTTACACGTGCGTGTTGTTTATGTTTATAAATAAAATGATTACAAACATTTTTCCAATCATTTAATCCCATTTTAGTGTTGTAGTAGACATGACGAATGTAAACTTTTTAGGCCTTAGACATTTTATCATCGAAAGATTTATTTTCAATGCGGATCAGACTATTTCTTACACTTTCTTTGTTGATTACGCAAGAATGGATGGAGATCATATCACACGTGGCAGTATGGTTGGAATTCCCGTTGTCAATGGTCAAGGTCGATTCTTTTCTGAAATGTTTAATTCACGGTATCATGGAACAGTCAGACACTCTACACAACCTGGTACAAACTTCATTTTTATGGTCAACCAAGTTACAACTGTTGAAATTCAGCACATGACAATGCAAATGACAGGATTTGGTGCATTAAATGCCACAGTTAATCAGCAAGTCAATGACCAAATTCCATACATGATAACGAGTATCGAATTTCAACAACAAATGAATGATATGCTTGACGGAATCATACTTCCAATTTTCAATGCCATTGCTAGTGGACAGACTGTTAACACAATTACAAATCATTTAGCCTTTATGGCAAGTAATCCACGTCAAAATTGTTAACAAAAATGCAAAAAATTAATCCAATGATAACAATAGCATGTGCTTATAGCACTTACCGTGCAATTTTATTTTAATAAAAATTATTTTTTGATAAGATTTTGAGTTAATTCTTCCGGATTTACTGTTCTTTACTTGTGGCTAATTTCTTCTTCATTGAATTTTTTGATGTTTTCTATTTATTCAAGTCACGTCCCTGATAAGAAACATTTTATTGTTACAAATCACTGAAAGGTACTTAAGATTAATGTTGTTTTGAACAGGCACTCAAAGGTACTTAAGATTTCCAGAGAATTTAGAAATGATTTCTTAAAAGTACTCTATGTAATCTAGTTTTTTCTCTAAATAGTTTATTTGTGTCATAAATTTTGTAATAATAATATCCCCAATATTATAGCCAAGACATTTTTGGAGCAAATTGTAAATGTTTCTAGATAAATTATTAGTTGCTTTTTTGCAGTGCAATAATTTTTCTGCATTTCATGATAATCACTGGCAACTTTGCAAAGCAACAGTCATCGTGTATCTTACTGATATGAAGTTATTATCAAAATATTATCAATGCATGTGCTTAGCTTTAAGTATGTTTTCACTGATAAATTTAATCAACCAATCACAGTTAAACAGTCAAGCAATAAAAATCAAAAAACATATAGCATTGATTTGGCAGGTCTTATCAAAATTTTGATAAGCTTTTTAGCCAAAATAATGAAGTTTTAGTGTAAATTTTCTAGACTATAAAAGCAATGGAACGGATAGTTACGATTTAGTCGTGTCAAAATTTACTAGGATACTAATTGTGAACATGAAATTATTAAGTTTACTGTTGATTGGTTTTGCAGCCTTTATTACTGCTGATTGTTGGTTTATTTTAATTGAAAACTTTGGATCCTTTTTAAATCAAAAAAAAATCTCAAATTTTAATAAGAATTGAAATATTAATAAATTTTATACTATCCCCAGCCAATGTAAGAAGTCCAGCTGACAACGAAAGATATGCTAGAATAATTTTGGACAATGGAAGACCGAATTTCCATTGCGGATTTCCTCACATTGGAGAGTATGGCATCCCACCAATTGATCCATTACTCATTCAAGAATTTAATGTTACCCAAAAATCATTGGGAGTTGAGTAAGTATAAAGCTTTTCAAAATTTCTGTAATCTCTAAGTTTTTGTACTTCAGTGTCGTTTCCACATTGACAAATACTCTCATGCGAGGACTTAAATTCTTCATAATTCAAAAATTCAGCTTCAATCCTGACCAAACAATCGAATACATTTTCACAACTGATTACGTAACAATGGATGGCGATCACTGGACGAGAGGAACAATGATTGGACTTCCTGTTGTAAATGGTGAAGGCAAGATGTTTGGAGAGCAATTTAATTCTCAATATCATGGATTTATTAGGTGGTCAACAGAGCCAGGTACTGGATTCATATATCCAGTCAGTCACACTGTGTCAGTTAATATTCAACATATGACAATGCAAATGAGTGGATTCAGTCCTTTAATTAATGGCACAGTTAACCAACAAATCAATGATTCGATTCCTGAAATGCTTGCAAGTCCCGAATTCCAGTTACAAATGAATGACATGTTGGATAGAGTCATAATTCCATTATTTGAAGCAGTTTCTTACAGGCAAACAGTTGATACGATTACTGATCATTTGGCTTACTTGGCAAGCAATCCATCACCACCAACATGCTAAATAAATTTTGATAAATTTCAATGAAAAAGTTAATAGAGTTTATATATTATACAGCACAAGTCATTGAATTATATTTTAGAAAATTAAAATCGTCTTAATTTTTCAGACAAAATTGTTGCTTATCATTTCGATAAGGATTGTCTTATCAATTTAGTGAACATTGACCTATTGTCTGGTGGAATTACACACTTGTTAAGAAATTCCATAGGAAAAATATATTTACAAAGGATTAATAAAGCTTTAGAGAATTAATTTATTTGGCATTAAAATACAATGAAGTTTTTCATGGATCATGTGTCATTAATGTTCTTCTTTTCCAATTAATAAATAGTTTTCTAACTTTCATTAAGTTTGGCATGATAATTCCAAGGATAGAGCATTCTGAACATTTTATTTAAATTTTATTGAAGTAACCCACACAAAAAATATTATTCATAAATAAGTTAAAAATAAATACTTATCGCTCCTTATTTTTGATATTATAAGTAACATCTTAAGTACTTACTAAAGTTATTTTTATCGACTTGAAAGTGCAGTACTGAGAATGATGATAAGCGAAAAAAAAATACTTAACAAATCAATAACAGCAAAAAATTAAAACTCAAGTCACTGTTTATATTTCCTATTACTTGCAATATCAGGTAATAATTTAAATCAAGATATCATGCAGCTGGTAGCTTTATCTTAACATATTGTGGTGTTTGAAGTCAATAACATGATATGTTTAATTTGTCATCCAAAATGCAAACCCAAAATCATGTATCATTGCAAATACCTAAATAATAATCCGGATCATCTAACATCACATGCTCAAACCTCAACTGAAATAACAAACAGCAATCGTTTGGACATAAACATTTAAAATGTCAATAGTTGACCAAAAACAATGAGGAGAAAAGACCAGGCAATAATTTAAAATCTAATAGGTCTAGGATAATTATTACCAACTTACATTGAACTAATGACTTGACACATTTGTGGTTTTTTTCTTTTTTCACCTTTACATAAAGTAAAATTTAAAGGGGCTGTTCACAAATAATGTTTTTCGAGAATTGGCTTAAAAATGTCACTGTATTCTGTGTTATTCAATACAAAACCAATTTTCACATAAAAGTTGAACATCATTAATGAATAACCTTCAAGATCTTCATATGAAAAAAATAATGCAATAAGTAGTAGCAAAATGATGTTAATGCATATGGATTTAAATTAATGGCATGGGGTAATGTTAGGTCTTACCTTACAATATTTATACTTTAACCTTTTACTTGACTTCACTGTTCAGTAGAACTGATGCATTGCTAAAAAATTTAATTTAATGGATGTCCATTTAGAAGAATAATTTGGTGAATGTGCAGAAAATATGAAGGAATAAACAATTAAATGTTTGTTTTTGGATTTTATAGTGGAATTAAGTGTGCAAATTTATAAAAAAAAATATATGTCGTTTTAAATGTAATGTTTGATCAGATAAGTTTCTTTTTGTAGGCCATAACACTCGTCCCAGCTCATCAGATTCCTAAGCATTAAGCAAATGAAATCAATTCAAATTCTACACTACAATTGAGGCATTAACCCATAATTATCGTCAATAAATCTCATTTCTCATTCAACTGTGAAAAATAATTAATACATAATTAAAAATAAGACAGCGATATGTTCATAAATCAGATCTTTCATATCTCAATTCATTTATTTCATTTTTTATTTTTCTTTCATTACATGAGACATAATCATAATAATATATAATAAAATAATAAAAGAAGTCAATTATGAATGCAGTTTAATTTAAACACAAAGGAAATGAAGAAGGAGGAGCGGGATTAGGTCAATAGTTTTTCAGAGTTGGATAACCTTTTTTAAAGTTGAGAAAATCCGAAAAATATTTACTTTTTTAAAAACTTAGGAAGGTTGAGCTACACTGAACCACCATTAAAATGGGCAGCAATAAAATAAATCTTTTGTTATTTCAATCTTAAAGATAAAAGAAAAATTATGAATTATGGATATGGATGTAATGAATTGTACAGTTCAAGTGAGAATAGTGAATGTGACAGTAAAGTTAAATAGGTTGGACACAACATAATTATAGCCAAACAAAAAGAACTTAATTTCGTTATTTCAGTGTTAATCTTATTTTAAAGACAGAAACTTAAAGCGTACAAATTAATAAAGTCGAGATTGAAATTATATAAAAAAAGAGGAAGGAATGAAATTTTTATGAAGTTGTCACGATTTGATTATTGTTGTCAATGAATAATGTGTTTTCATATAAAATAATTTCGCCGTATAAATTCGAAATATCACAGCTGTTGGTGCTCAGCAAGTTTCTCAAAAATCAGATGAGATTCTTTATTGAATGTCCAGGCTTTGCCTTCTTATCATGAAAACTTTTAATGCTTCAATGTGAAAGACAACTTTATGAGAATAATTCTTTTTCAGATTTACAGTTTTGAAGTGGAAGAATAAAAAAGAAAGAAGAAAAGATTTTAAAAAGATGAAAATTTAATGAAATTCTTATGTCAAGCCACTAAGAGAAAAAATAACTATTTACAGGTCTTTGATTTTATGAGTGTTTATTACCATCAATTTAGAGGTGATTCAACAATCATTTCCAAAACTTTTTAAGATCAATTCAAAAAACGCTCAACATTTTCTTCATCAATATCAAGTTCTGTCCATTCTTAAACTCCTTTTTTTTCTCTCAGCGTATCAATCTTAGTTTTACAAAGAAAAATGAAAGAAAATTTTGGTGATTTTTTTCTTTTCTTAAATAAAAAAAAAAGGTTTTCTAATTTTAAGTCAATCAATAAAAGTAAAAAATCATCTTAAATTTGATTTCTGGGCGGAAGATAAAGACGATTTTGATTGTTTGATGGTTGGGGAATCACATAACCTTCAGTTGGTGGCTTAACGCGTACAATATCGACATTTGTTGTTTCAGGCTTGTATGCACCACTATCAAAAACGGAGTTTAATTCATCGGGTACGTATTGACCTGTACGACCTACTGGCCATGGATCAGTGTAATCTGGATCACGACAACACACACCTTGTTCTTTTGTTTGTGGATGAAGACATTCACTTAATGGAACACGGAAGAGTTGTTGTTCGGGTGTGAGAATGACTGGAGTTTTTGAGATGACGCCAATAGCTGAGCACATTTCAATTCTTGTACAATTTAATGCAGCAGAACATCCGATTGGAATGACAATTGGTGCTGGTTCAATAGGACGTGGTGGATTTGTTGGACGAGGAGGTTGTGGAGGTGGTGTTTGTGGTCTACGAGTAGTTATTGGAGGGGGTGGTGGTCGAGTTGCTGGTTGGGGAGTTGGTTTAAGAAAAACTGGATCTTCGTTTGTTGGTTGATCATCAAAAGATGGAAGATATTTGTTAGATGGCTTTCTTACGACATATCCTTCATTTGTTAATACTTCCGATGTTGATTGAGCTGGTGATGCTACACTGTCTAAGGCAATGACTTTGAAATTGGCACTTCTGCGTTGAGCAAATTTGCAACAAACATCTTGGGTATTGCAACGTCCATTCTAGTAAAGTTAAGATTGGTAAAATATTATTAGTATTTAAATTGAATATTATTGCTCTTTAATGGTTCGTTCTTATGCCTTAATTCTTTTGAAATATTTAGACATAAAGGTCATAACTTAAATGAAGTCGGTACAAACTGTAAATTTACTGAGCAACGCTATGAAATGATAATTAATCTCATCAATAATCAGTTCGTGTAAATCAATCAACAGACGCTTCCTAATTTATTGTAAACTAATTGGTTAAAGGTGTTGATGAATGAAAAAAGACAAATCATTAAGAGCAAAAAGATGCTTTAAAGTTTCGGTGATCTCTATTGATTCAAAAGTAACCAAATCAATCAGTTTAAACAACTTAACAAGTTCACAATTTTTTGTTGTTGACGTTTAGCGCTTCACATACAAAAACAACTTGTGTAAGCAAGAGAAATCACACAAAACGAGAAATGAGTATTTAAAAACTTGCATTTGAGTTGAATAAATCCGATCATCAAAACTCGACAAGTTTCAGACGCACAAAGAGGAAAAAAAGTAATATTACTTGGCCTAGTGAACTTATCCTTGAAAAAATATTAATTTAAAGAGAAAAAAATTCTTTGCGCGCCTTTTTATAGTGAATTAAAATGAACCTTTCATGACCTTTAATTCAAAATTTCCTCACACATTTAATAAACAAAAAATAAAAGTAATTCGATGAGAGGCGTGAAAACAACTGCGTGGGTACCTTAACATGACTAATAAAAATAAACAAAACAAAGAACGTCACTTACCGTACTGCGTGATGCTTTATTCTCAACCAATTGATCAATGACACCATTGAAGCAAAATTGGGGTGCGACACAAGCGGAATTAGAGTCAGTGCATGGTGCCGATTGTTGTGAGAAGCGTGATGACTGCTGTTGTGCAAAATAATTGTTGACATCACGTGGAGATCCTGTAATATGAGCTGATTTATGTGTATTTTGAATTTGACGACTTTCTTGTTGCTGAAGCTGTTGTGTGTGTGGACGACGTGTAATGTAATGTCCATTTATGTTATTGTTATGATTATTGTATGATTGTTGTGGTGTATTTTGACGTTTTAAGTGTACTGTGTTGCTTGATGCTGCACACCTACTACATCCATTAGAATTATGTTGTAGTCTTTGTGATGTGTACTGTGTATCATCTGAATTCACCCAATAATATTTTTTATTTGAATTTCTACTATTACCATTTTGTGCTGAAAATGCAGCATTGCCATTTGCATTAAAAGATTGTTTCACAACACGTCCATCATTAGCGACATATGTGTTATGTCCTGCTTGTTGATTTCTCGACAAATGACTAACATCAGCATTGGCTATTCCTAGTACTGTGGCTAGGCCCACTAACAAGGCCGTGTAGAACTTCATTCTATAAGGCGATTAAAAGACGAGTTTAAGTTGTGATCAAGTGTCATGTGAATCGTGTAATGTTTGTGGTTGAGAAAAAGAGAAGAAATAAAAATTTATGAGATTATTAAATGATCGATACTGATGCAAAAGGCCAAAAAAGATTAAAAAAGTGTCATCAATAATTTTTCTATTTCAATTGACAATAGAAATTTTTTTATTTGACAGAAATTGAATCAATAAATTACTAAATAATAAGATTTATAAAACCTATAATCCGGATTAATATGGTTGTTAAAAATTGCAAGCTTATTATGCTGAGTGAGGTCGTCTTTTGATCTCATAATTATGTAAATTTGTTGTCGAATAAAAGTGGAATTAATGTAATATGGATATCAAAGGTTTTTGTCTTTAAATGAGGATTTAAGTCAATAATTATTAGCTTGTGTCGCTTATGATTTTGGTATTGATGTGTACTTAGTATATTCCTAGGAAGGAAGTTGACCTAGGTGCAAAGAATTATCTGTATTGACAGTTATCAATATCGGTAATTATTGATGCGGGATAAAAGCTTTTAAGTTGACTGAAATTCCAAATATGAGTTGGGTTTAAATCTTATGGAACTAAAAAACCAAGGAATTTGAGTTCAGGATATTGAAATAACGTCAAAATAATTATTTAAGTTTATTTCAGGAAACAAACCGTGATTCTATTGGGAAGGTTTTAATAAAAAATTAATTTGAATTTTTGCGCTCCAAAATGCTATAATTTTAATGGTACTAGCCGGTACGAGCTACATCGTGCTCATTATTCATTTGTAACCATTTAAATCTTTAAGTCTATCAATTATTGACCTAAAATAGGACAGTAACAGCTTTTGAACCAATTTTATGCAACCTTTATTTAAGAGATCAAAGAGTCTTCCTTATGTAGCCACGTGCTCAGAATTCCTCCAATTTGTATAAATTTAATTTAATAAAGGTTCGCAAAATTCGCACAAAAAAAGAAGCAGGCATAAAAATTGCCATTCATTATCATGTTTAATGCCACAATTTAACGAATTATGGTTTTAAGTTTCAAGAGTGGATGTAAATTGCTAGTTATGAGTCTCGAAAAAGTCAATTTTTTGCTGCCTCATCGCAACATTTCATTGATGAATTTTTTTCCTCGCATTTTGATGCACGAAAAGCACTTTTCAAGTTCAATGTAAGTTCTTTTGTGAATAATATTGTATGATGTAAGCCGTTCGATGAGAGGGCGTTGAGTAGGGCGTGTTATGACTGAAAGAATGTAAAAAGCACAAAAGGCTCGAAAACAGAATTTGTTTTTAATGAAGAAAGAAGTCGTGGAAAGGAAGTAGATGTGGGTGGAAGACAAAGGCGCTCTTTTGGGGAAATGAAGTGGGAATTTAAAAAGTTTTTTGTGGTTCCTGGTTTCGGGGGATTTTTGAAGGAGATCGGAAGTAATAAAATATATCTAATGCAATATAGTTTTTGGATGTTCTATGACTAATAAGATCAACGAGTCTAATCATAATTACGCATCTCAAAATTCCAATTTCAAACCCATCACATCAATTATAAAAATATTAAATTCACTAAAAATCCTAATCAAATCACATCAATTCATCCAAGTCAATCTGTACAGATCAACAACCTTTATTCATCCAAACCCGCATTCATGATTAATGCGAAACAACGAAACAAAACGGAAATTTTTTCATTTTTCATTCTGTTTTTGTTTAATATTTTCTAAACAAAAAATTGTGTCCATAAAAAATATTCACATATGCTTGTTGTACAAATTGGTGCCAAATGGATTCACATGGAATATCATAATTATGTGAATATATCAAAATAGACTTTTTTTTAAATGAAAAGAAATAAAATATTGAATGCAGAAAAAGAGAGAATAAAAAAATTAATCTGACTTTATTGTTGAAATTCGCGTGAAATGTGTATTGATGACGATTGGAATTCTGTGTTTTAATTTGTGTCACTGTGTTTCTCACTAAATGTTTTGAACAAAAATTTGTATATCTTCTTATAATGAATGAGATTTGGATTTTAATTTGCTTAATAGGTTGTAAAAGTGAAATAAAATTTGAAATTAGCAGAGACAAAATTGATAGAAAAATATTCTAAAATTAACCTAAAATCATTAGGGGCTATTTAAACATGACGTTTAGCTTTGATGATTGGAGTTTAAGAATTGATCTTTGAAATTTTTGAATGGTGGGAAGTGAAGATGAGAGGCAAACATATTAAAATCAAATTATATCGATAGACATCATATTTTAACGGCCCCATCAATTAGTGAAAGAGTTCATTATATCAATTTCAATACAGACGCGTGCCAAGTTTTCTCCAGGACAGACCCAATTTTAAAGAATTTTAGATAAATGTTAAGAAATCGACCTCATTTGGTTTCATAAATTATCATACGGATATGATGATAGGTTCATCACATTTGACTTCATGAGTCAAGAAGTCTATTACACAGACTTACAAGTGTAAAAGCAAAAAATTATGGCTCCTATAAGACTTAAGTAATAAACCACTGCATCTCTAACTTCAATAAATTTCCTACTTAACCCACTCAGATGACATCCAAACTAATTCAAGAAACGTAAAACATCTTAGTAATTAATTTTTAACTAAGGCGATTGCAATAAAATGTCTTATTTATGCTCATTGAAAAGAAACATTAAAAAAATTATCGTGAACTTTGTGACATAATTGCATTGATTCCATGAAGACATTCATGAAGTGACCACGAAAATAATTAATAATAAATGGAAAAAAAATATACTGAATAGATCGTTTGATAAAAAAAATGTTTAATTCGCTCAATGACACAAACAAATGGAAGACTCGCAACTTTAGAAAGTCAGCAAAAATGGAAATGATTGTTTCTTATTTTTAAGAGGTTAAAAAGCATTAATTGAATGAAATTGATTTGGCTTGAAATGATTACACGACAATTTTCAGCTTTTTGTCAACGAGTCAAGGATATCACACACTGAAAAATGTGTCCTTGAAAACATTACGATCAATTAAAAAACTTAAATGATTTCTTTTTTAAAAGAGTCGCGAGAAATGGTCAAAGAAGCACTGAGAGAAACTGTTGTGATCAGTCGTTAAATTTTCATGTAATGCAGTCAATGATGTACGTAAAGATTTTTTATGATTGGCAGCTGTAACTTGGTAGTCAAATTTTTATGTCCAGAAAATGACATCGCATGTGATCTTGTAGACCTGTTAAAGCCAGAGATACTTTAAGAAATATCATCTTGGAATCGTAGAAGCAGTTCTCACGTTATTTAGAATTCGATGATGTTCAGTCCCCCCTACCCCCCTCCTTCGTCTTCTCAAATCTTTCATTCAAATAATTATTACATGAAGAGTCATAAAGCTTCATTTCATTTTACTATGAAATTTTTCAATGATTACATTTCATAGAGGATTAAAAAGCTGCTAATAAGTTGCTGACAGCTAGCTGTTATTTATTTGTAATTTATCAACAAGATTGACACTCAAGCAGCCAAAATAAGTCCAAAGTTAATCAAATATCCAAACTCATTAACTACTTTATGACCTCATAAATCCTCCCAAACTTAAAAAATTCCTCTCCGTGTAATGCAAATTAAGGTGCAACTTAAAGGCTCATGCACACAAAGTCAGCTCTTTGCAACACATTTTTTTTTAATTCTTCATATTATTTCTTTGTACGGAAAAAAGTCACGACTGAACATTTTTACTTCTCTTTCTTCATTTATTTTTCTATTTTTTCTCTCCTTCTCAATTGCATAATCGATGAATAAGTTACTTTATGGATTTTATTGTTATTATACATGTATTTTTATTATTTTCGCATTTATTTTACTTGCTGATCTTTAAATTATTTTCTGTTTTGAATTTTTTCTGCTTGATGTGCTTGTAGAAAGCGACTTACTGTCACTTTTCAGTATTTTTGTAAAGTTTGGAGTTATTGCCAAAAATAATTGATATTTATAAATGGTTATGAAAAACATGTTCTTAAGCGACACATAGGGATCTATTTATAATTCATATATATTGCTGAGGTATGGCTTAAAATACTTTATTCAATTTTTAACAGATAACTTTCCTAATAAAATGCTTCATAATGAACAATTCATAAATTCTTGATACACAACCTTCAAAAACATTTAATTCCCTCATTATTTTCTGCATTTTTAATTTGAACCAAATACTTCTCAAAAAAATGACTCAAGAAATTTTTGAAAGCTTAAGTGAATTTAGGTCATGCAATGAGACACTTTAATTTCCCAAAAATTAAATAATAAATTTCGCAAAACTATAATTTCTCAAAGAAATTTCAGAGGTAAAATTAATTTTTTGCTACACCCAAAAAATATTAAATTTGCAATAAAGTCCATAAAAGATATCATTGCTACTCGCAAAAATTACGGACAATTTTTATTAAAAGAAATATCCAAAATTTTAATGGATTTATAAACGTTTCTCGGCGCTTTAATGAAGAGATCAGCGCATATAAACAAGAATAAGTAAACAAAATATTGAACAGCATATGGAAGTCAATACAATAAACACATCCAGTCATCCAAGATCGCAAATATTTTATCATTTTAAAATCTTAATTTTTTGGGAAGACATAAAAACATTTCTGCGATCAGCGATGAATGACTTTCAAATGTCTAACTTCTTGCATGTCAATGATATTTTATTTTCACTTCTCTATATAGTCGGCAGTCTACCAAAATATTTATTTTGAGTTATTATTAGATGTCTTTAGAAATGGACGAATTCTTTTCGCGTTTCTTCATTTGAGACTGAGTTGAATAAATTGATTTATTATTGACATTGATTTTGTTGATTGTTTGGGTTGAGATTTGACTGAATTTTTTTTGGAAGTCTAATGACTTAAGAAAAATTGAGAATCTGAATGGTTAGGAATTCTTGAGGTTTTTTTTCTCGATCAGTATAAGATCTCCAATAAATATGTAGAGCACAAGTAAAAACTAGAAGAGATGTTGAATGATTCGAGATCCTGAATCAAACCCCAGAGAAATTGACTTAAACCCTTAAACTTGCATCACTTTAACTTTTCTGAATCCTTAGCACAAATATCATTTCATTCCATAAATGTTGCTTCAAATGGAATTAAAGAATTTTTTTAGGAAATATTTCCAAACTCAGCACATGTATTTCAAACTCAAACAACCTGTCAAAATATTTTTTGCAACCATCAAATCGCAATATTTAGAATAAATCATCAACATCCTCTAAATCCCACATTCACGACTAAAATTATTCAACAACAATTATTTTCTTCTTATTTGGAAGCTTGCAACGCTCACAATTTCACAGTCTTTGCTTCATTTTTTTCACTTTTTAACTTTAGTTCTTGATATTTTTTAATTTAAAACATTTTAAGTCCAATTAATAACAAAAATCCAAATTAAGTAATTTTTGCATGCTATCTCCTTACTTTTATTTCTTGGAATTAATTTATCCTTCACTTTTAATCCTGAATATTAATTGTCTCTTTTCTTTAATTCACTTTATTTTTTGTCGCACGAGTCTTTCTACTTCTCGTCACACTAAATCAACAAATAAAATATGATTTTTAATATTTTTTTCCTTCGACTAATCCCGTACTTATTGCGCTAAAAATCTGCACAGTAATGAGCAGCTGATTTGTCTTTCGTGACTCTTATATAGCAGATGCGTTTACAGGTCGCTCTGTGTATTTAATGTTCACTATTCCAATACTTTTCTGTTGTTTTGTTTTTTTTTTTTTGATTTTTCACTTATGAAGAAAAAGAAGAAGAAGAAGAAGTAAAAAAGTTGATGAAAATAAGAAAAAAAAAATTGTTGAGAGTAATATTCTCAAACTCTCTGTAATGTTTCATTTGCCGCTCAATCCATCTTCTAGAGTAAGTCGTGATCGTCATGCCACATAAAAATATATGGAAGTAAGAAGATAAAATGCACGTGGTTGGGGTTGAGTTGGAATAGACGGAAAATAGAAACAGTCACACATATGATGTGAGAGAAGAGTAGCTAAAACGAGTATGAGAGAAATCAGAGACTTTAATTCGTGAACAGGAAAGGATTCTCACTAATTTAGATGTGTTTTGACTGTCGATCGATGTACTTAACGCGTAGGAGCATGGGACCGACGGAATATTACTGCAACCTTTGCAATAATTATTGAAGTTCCATTGGACGACAAAATTTGAACTTTTCAGCTCCAAAACTTAACCATTTGAAGCCTAGAATCAAAATTGAATATTACCAAAATTTAACTTTTTAGCTCCAAAACTTAATCATTTTAAAGCCCAAAATCCAAATTGAATATTCCTGCAACCTTTGCAATAATTATTAAAGTTTCATTTAACCACAAAATTTGAACTTTTAAGCTCCAAAACTTAACCATTTGAAGCCTAGAATCCAAATTGAATATTACTGCAACCTTTGCAATAATTATTAAAGTTTCATTGGACCACAAAGTTTGAACTTTTTAGCTCCAAAACTTAACCATTTTAAAGCCTAGAATTCAGATTGAATATTAATTTCTTAAAAAAGTCCAAAAAGAAATTATCTTTTAAAAATTTGTCACCAATGTCACATATCAGACAAGGTTGCAAAGTTGGCAAAATTTTGTCGCCAACAACACATCAAGCATTAATAACCAAGAAACATAAGAGAATTATTAAATAGTGTGACATTTTGAAGCATTTGAAAGAGAAAAAAAAAACATATTAATTAATTACTGTACATATTATGTGTGTCTCTACTATTTTGACATCACATACCAACACATTACAACTTTTTAAAACCACAAAAATGATTTTAATTTATGATTAATTGCTAATGGCTGTGAAAACAAATATAAAGTTCATGGGAAGTAAAATATTGTTTAATGATTCTTAGACTTGCTTTACATACTAAGCGGAGCTTTTAGGAAAAAAAGCATACAAGTTGTAAAGGCATATGATAAGTTGTTGGAATTAGGCGCATTTTTCTTTAATAACCAAAAATAATTCATTGTTTTAAAGATATTTTGTAAATTTGACAGAGTTTGTCTAGTTTTTATTAATAATCAATCCTAGAAACGCATCAATCTGGCTTTGCTTCAGCCACTAATCATCCATATACATCTGATCAATTTGAAATCATCAACTGTCTCGAAAATATACAGTATAAAACTTTATTAACATTTTTATGAGATAATTGCTATGAATTGAAGCAAGAAGAAAAAACAATTAGAAGGGCGTGGAACGCAAGTGGAATCTCTTAACATGTGTACATTCTGCATTAAAGTCTTATTGTTATTTCTCACTTTGTTTTCCCTCCAATAAAAATTATGCACAACTTTTTTTGCGTAAGTCATTCTAAAATATTTTTTTATTGTTTATTTATTATTTATTGCTTTGAAAACAAACACTTTAGGTACAATTTGAATAGATTACACTAATGATTGTTAAACTGTATCCCATTGAAAAATTATTAATTCATATGGTTTATTTTAATAATAGTGGAAGTGAATATTGGATTATTTGTATTAGGGTTATGTGGAAATTTTTATTGAGGTTTCTTAAAAAACTTCTAATGGACCCACTTTTTTTTAATGCAACGTTCCACCTCAAAACCCTCCTGAAAATGCCCAATTTCGACAATTTTAGTGACGACTTAAAATCATTAAAATAATATTTATTTTCACAACTTGATGAAATCCATCTCTTTTGCAATTTGCACAGAAGGACGTCTGTCAAAAAGATTATAAAAATTGACACAATTTAAAATTATATAATCACAATAAAATTTCTGCAATCACAAGACTACCACATGAGTGTGTCTTAAATTAAAAAATTAAAATTAAATTCTGACTTCGCCAGATGTTCACAATAAAAAATTGTAACAGTAATTTGCAGCAATAAAGATCCTTGTAAATAAAAAGAGAGAAAAGCCTTCACATTCGCAAAAAAGTTAATTGAACTTTTATTGGATCTTATTAAATGAGTAGTAAATATGACCATTGAAAGGAAATGTAGTTGCAGAAAATGATTTTTATTTGGTTTTAATGAGTTCATAAAAGCAACTTAGCGCATATTCTGGGATATTAAGTATTTAAAATCAACAAGTCACGAAAAACGAATTAATAATCGATAAGAACCATTGATCCAAATCTTTATACTTCCGAGATGTTTCACACTATTTCAGACGTAAACCTTTAAAATCAAAAATGTAAAATCGCATCATTAAATCATGAAAAATAATTCTCAATTCATTTTTTATTCTCATAAAAATCGTTGAACTCGTTGAAATCACACTTGATCATTATCTCATAATTCGTTTTTATTGTAATACAACATTCAATGAATGAGACTCAATTAAGACATCGTGAATAATAATAATAATATTGAGAAAACCAGAATCTTGTTAGTGAAAAAATAATGCGGATACAGACGCTGAACATTCTGACATGAACTGATGACTCGTTGTAATCTGGATAAGTGGGATCACTTCATTTGAAATGAAAATATTAAAATTATTTAACATTTGATCGAGCAATTGACACATTTGAGTTATTTTTGAAGCAATAAAATTAATTTGAGATTTTTTTAAAATCCGGTTGTAAATTCACAGTCAGAATCTGTTCTTATTAATGTGAAATTGGTATTTTTTGGAAGAATCAATTTTGAAAAACAGTTTTAATTTTAATTCACCAAATCAATATCCAGGTAGTCATAACTTTTGTTAATTGAACATTGAAAATTTCATATGTCTCCAAAAGTATATTCAAGTTAATTATAGTACTAAATCCTGATCAACTGTGGATAATAAAGTTATTAACCCCAAATTTTTTTTTACAAAAATATTTGAATAATGTTTTCAGATTTAAAAGTTCATTAAGAATTTGCAGATTTTTTTACCCAACAGCAACAACAAAAAAAAAATCGTGCATGAAAAATTAAAACTTCGCGCGAGATGGAATTTTAATGACTTTAAATGCTTCACAAAAATTCTACATTGTGCATAGAAGTCAACTAAAAATAAATAGAATCGTGCCATCTGATTGCTTCTTGAAGCACATATGAGACTTTTTAATAATTAAATTAGTCATAAAAACTTGCATATGAAAGGTTTAATAAATGATTTAAAATTGGGCTGTGTTATATAATTTCGCATGAAATTGCAATAAACCTCTGCAGAAAAAAAACATGAGTTGTCATTTTTGCTTCCTAGTAACTTGACAGGGACTTTCATAGTTTTCAAGAGGTTGTTTCTAAAGTTAAAATACCGAAGCTTTGATTTTTGTGTCAGGCAATAAAAACCCAGAATTTTATGACTAATGTCAAATGCCAAGCATTGACGTACATAACTGATTGTTTTGCTCGCAGATATTTTCCTATTGCATCAAGATAATTCTTATAAATGATCGGCAATAAAAAATGTCTTTAATATTGTATATTGATCTTATTGACCATAACCAGGCTCTTAAGGGCCGTTACATAGAAATCAACTTTTTAAAAGCTCTTAAAACTTTTCTTTGAACAGAGACATCCCTCCATAAAACTTCCACTTATGGTTATTAAAAAGAATTTTTAAATCTATTATAAACTTGAGAATCACCGCCTTGAACAAAATATTTTGACATTTCACCTTTAACTAGTAATCTGACAACTAATCACAATCTCCTTAGATGCATAATTGATTTCATCTAAACTTCCTTAAACCAACCACAGTTCAAACATTTATCATCAATAATCGCTCATTGATAACAGTAAGCCCTAGAGACGTAGACAATAATTTGATGCTTTTTAAAAATCTACAACGAGACAAAAATCATTAACAATAAAACACAGACATTAGTGATTAATAATTGTGATATTAAATAACTTTATGATGTGTAGCCTGAGGTGACTTAAAAGCTCATAATTCTTCATTAGATAGTAAGATGCCACAAGCACACGACACGAACAATAATGTAAGATAGATTAACAGCTCCTCAAGTAGTCTTTAAAAATTAATCAATAAAATTTTTATTTCGAATAATGAATAAAAAAATTTTCAATTAGTGACAAACTCCACCGCATAAACAAAAAATTCGTCATTTTTGCCATAAAAGGATTGAGTGTGACATACAGAAGCAAAATACGTGGATATAAAATGTCAATGACATTGAATATCCACAAAAAATTTGTTTGGTACGCTTCAGTTCCATTGTTATCTTCTATTGGCGCTTGTCATAGAATACAATAGGAATCTTAATTTAAATCTCTACATGTATGGCGCAGACAGATATTCTCACTCATTGCGGTCAATTTATGGTTCATGTCGAAGTTCATTGGGCAAGTATTGTGGAATAAAATGATGATAATTTTGTAATGTTGTAAAATATGGAGAAAAAATAAATTGTTTTTCGCCTTAATTGAAAAAATTTATTGATCTGAAGTTTTAACGTGTTTCAGAATTTTGATTTTTTGACAATAGATGGTAAAACAACTTGTTCACAATATTTTATCACCTCAAAAAACTTTTTGCTTTTGAAACGTAAATTAAACCTTTGCAAGACTTCTAGTTCTATTTAACTGATTAAAAAAAGTTGCAAAAGTGTTATAGAACCATTCTGAATCATCTAAGTAACGTAATAGCTTCAAAACATTGAAA